GGCTGCCGGCAAGCCTGCAGAACATTTTTTTTTAGTTAGTGGTTGATGGGGGAGGGCCATTGATAGTGGATGGGGCCATCCCTGGGGTGGTGGTACTGGGTTCTACAAGAAAGGGGGCTGAACAAGCCACAGGGAGCAAGCCATGAGCAGTGTTCCTCCATGGTCTCTGCTTCAGTTCCTGTGCTGACTCCCCTCAGTGATGGCGTGTAACCTGAGAGTTGTAAGCAGAAATAAACCCTTTCCTCGCCAGATTGCTTTCGCTCCTGGTGTTGGGTCACAGCCATAAACCCTAACTATGACAAATAGCAACGTGGGTGCTTAGGTCTCTGGTCTGGGCCCCCAGCTTCCTGCCTTCTCTCCTCTTTCTAGACCTGCCTGGTGACCATGAGCCTCTCCTCCCTCCCCCTACCTTGTCTTCCACAACTGAGCCTGTCCTTGCTTTGGCTTTTCCAAGGCTGCCACCTCACTGCTCATCACCTGCTGTTTGTTCTCTCCTCAGGCTCTGATTTCTGAGACCCTCTCTCGATTTGGCCACCTGGATTGTGTGGTGAATAATGCTGGCTACCGTAAGTTGTGTGGCTTGGGGCCTAGTGTCCCCTGATGTCAACTTACAACCTATTCCCTATTCCTTCCCCTTAGAGATGATTACATTTATCTGCACACCGGCGTACAGTACTTGTGTGGTGTTCAGAGTACAACTGGAGGGGATTAGCTTTCTCCTTGTACCATGTGGGGTTGCGCTCAGGTTCTCAGGCTTGGTGGCAAGTGCCTTTACATTTGAGGCATCTCAACCCTTCCTCTGAACCTCAGTTTACTCCCTTCTCAGGCCACAGCCTTCGTGGTGTGTGTGTGTGTGTGTGTGTGTGTGTGTGTGTGTGTGTGTGTGCACGTGCACGTATGTACATTTGCATGTATGTCTGTTCACCACTTACATATTTGGTGCCCACAGAGGCCAGAAGAAGCAGTTGGATCCCCTGGAACTGGAGTTACAGACAGTTGTGAGCTGCCATGTGGGTGCTGGGAATTGAACCTGGGTCCTCTGGAAGAGCAGCCTGAGCGTGCTCATAACTGCAGTCATCTCTCCATCCTCCCCCATCCTAATACATAGCTCTAGCCTGAGCTTCTTTCCTAGGCTATGTGCTCCCCATCTCCGTGACTCAGTTTCCATCTTTGAAATAAGAATTATCACAGCTGCAGGGTGGTGGTGGCACATGCCTTTAGTCCAGCACTAGGGAGGCAGAGTGGATCTCACTGGATCTCTGTGAGTTCGAGACCAGCTTGGTCTCCAGAGCTAGTTCCAGGAATAGGCTCCAAAGCCACAGAGAAACCCTGTCTCGGAGAAAAAAAGAAAAAAAAAAAAAAAAAGAATCACCTTTTTCATTGGGGGTGCTGTAGTCTCTAAAGGAAGTCACACTTTGGGTAGCTCCTACTTTGCTGAAGGCCCAGGATCTTGCTGGTGATAAGGACATCCAGGCACACTTCATCAGACTCTGGGTGGTGTGGCACTCTGGAAGGTTTCCATTAGCCCAACAGGTGCACTTTAAGACAATGTGTCTCCTAGGGGCCTGGAGATGACTCAGAGGTTAAGAACACTGGCTGCTCTTCTGAGTTCAATTCCCAGCAACTGTATGGTGGCTCACAACCATCTGTAATGAGATCCTGTGCCCTCTTCTGGTGTGCAGGCATATATGCAGGCAAAACACCGTATACATAATAAATCTAAAAAAAAAATAAAATAAAAAGACAATATGTCCCCATAGAAACTAAGGCTCAGAGAGCACCCAGGCCTTCCAGAGTCCCCTCAAAGATGGAGGTGCAGAGGATTGTCCCCTGGCCAGGGAGGCTCTCCTTGTCTTAGCCTCTTTTTTCTTCATTCACATCTTGGTAGGGATTCAGACTTGCAGGGACCTCATTGTCATCTGTGTCCTTCTTTTTTTAGGCTGATGTTTATTCAACACAGGCCACGTAACCAAACACTGTTGTGGGGAGTGCAGGGAAATTGATACTCCATATCGAGGAGAGGAGATATGAGTGATTTGGTCCTGGGATGGCAGGTGTAGGCCAGCATGTCTGCTCTGCAGAGACTGCCATGGCATTCACCGCCTGCAGTCTCCTTCCTTGCCTTGTAGCCTAGCTCTTTGCCTCTCATCTGTGCCATCACCCCTCTCCTGCCTCCTGCCTCCTACCCTCCTGGCCTGGCCTCATGTCTCCTTCTCATTAGACCCACCTGCACAGGCACCTGAGGAGACTTCTGCCCAGGACTTTCGCCAGCTGCTGGAGTTGAACCTCCTGAGCACATACAACTTAACCAAGGTGAGACAGGAACAATTGCAATTGGTACTCGTCTCTCATTTTGTCATGAGCACATTGCTTTGTGCCCCTTGGCTTCCTGTCCTTATTCTGTAACAGCAGGTCTTACTTAACCTGTGGGTTGCAACCCCTTTGGCAGTCAGATGACCCTTTCCCAGGGGTCTCCTAGACCATCAGAAAACATATCTACATTAAGATTCATAACAGTAGTAAAATTACAGCAACAAAATAATTTTATGGATGGGGTCACCAAAAAATTTAATGTATTAAAAGGTCCAGCATTAGGAAGGTTGAGAACCACTGCCGTAGGAGGATCTTGTTCTATGTAGAAAATGAAGGCCAGATCCGCATCCACCTGGGCAGCTACAGACACCTCAGAACCTTCCAGAACCTTCCAGGGCTGCATGGAGGTGGCAGAAGAGGATGCTAAGAACTCAGGAGGTAGGGTTGGGGCTCAGACAGTAGAATATTTGCACAACGTAGCTCCAGCTTGGATCCCCAGGACCACCTGAAACAAGCATGGTGGTGCAATGCAACCTGTGATCTTAGCACTCAGGAGGTGGAGGCAGGAGGATCAGGAGTTCAAGGCCAATCTTGGCTACAGAGTGAGATTCTGCCCCAAAAAACAAACCAGGAAGGAAAGGGTGGGGTGCTCATGGTGTAGGGAAGGGCCCGTGAAGGGTCACTAAGAACATTTGCTGCTGTTAATGGTGGAGAGAGAGGCCTTAGGTGGAGATGGGTGTAAAGGTCACGCTGGCAAGTCCCGTCTATTTCAGATGCAATAGAGAGCCATGGAACATGGTTGAGCAAGAAAGTGATGTGAGCTTCCTAATCATTCTAAAATGTTCCATGTTAAACTCACTGATCAGCCTGCAGCACTGATCTCTCCCTAGAAGTTCATCCCACAAGGACAGACATCTTCTCTCTCTTTTGTTTCTATGAGCAGTAGGAGCCATGAAGCTGGGCAAGGCAATGTATGCCTTTAATCAGGAGGAAGAGGCAGGCAAGTCTCTTGAATTCGAGGCCAACCTAGTCTATATAGTGAGTTCTAGGACAGCCAGGGCCTTGTCTCAGAAAAACAACAAGAAGAAGTGGAGGGCGTGGGAAGGATTTTGCTCCCAAGAATACTATGAAGCCAGCCACACTTGCTGTTCCTGGCTCATTTGAGAGAAAAGAGCCAGGTGCCCTTGTACTCAGGGTGGTCTCATTACAGAAGAGATATTGTAATATCAGCTACAGACCTGGAGAACAGATGATAACCCAGGACAGTCACCAGGGTCCCCTCATCCTAGGCAAGCTGAGATGGTCACTGTGTGAACAGTGTGGCTTTCTCAGAGTGAAGCAGCCGAGACGGAGGGTGTGAAGGTTGCAGCACCCAGGGTACATGTGAAGACAACACAGAGGGGTGGAGGCTGCATTTGGAGAGCCGTGGGGTATTGGGTGAGCCAAGGATCCTTTTAGGTTCCTATTCTAGGAGGTTGAGGGATGGCGCTGTTTTGTTCTCAGTCATATTTAGTGGTAAGGACAGGCTGTGTCTGCTCAGCTCCAGTGCCCACATCAACGAAAAGACTGTGTTTACCTAGGGTCACAAGAGACAGCACGCCTGTGGAGGAGTGGCCAGGGTTTGGGAAAACAGAGAGAGAGAGAGCGGGGGAGGGAGAGAGC